AGAACAATGTCTTGTTTTATCATTTCAATCCTTTGTTGTATTTGCTGTGCAAACTGCAAATCAACTGTTCTCCTAACAAATGGATAACCATACGAGAACATGGGTGGCAATATTTGTCATAATTTAAGACAAACCTATTTATTTTTAAGAAAAAAAAATCTACAAAATAAAAGTCAAAAGCAGGAATAGTTGTGAATAGTAAGTTACATATTGTAAGAGAAAAACGAGATACAGATTGTGATGAAAAAGAGCATGTAGCAATAAGAGGAAATGAAGTCAAGAGTAAAAAATATGAAAGGAGAATAAAAGAGGAAACTAGAAAAAGGCCAATCAACTGCTGATGCCACCTAAGAGGGATTGCGTTAAATCCCCTTTCCTTTCCTAAGCGGGGACGAATCAACATATAAGGGGAAAAGGGATGAGAGGGAGAAACTATAAAAAGAGGCTTGGGAAAAACATTTAAGAGGTAAGAGTTTGAGTAAAAAAAAAGAGTTGCTGAATTATCATTTGGTTACTATAGACATTGTTTGGAAGACTTGAAGACTATTATTCTTATAGTTGCTTCATGATCTAGAGCTTGATTTGAGAATTTTTTTTTTTTTTGGGTACATTTTTGAGATATTGTTTGGTAAATATATCATTGTGTTCAATAAACTTATAAGGTTGATCGATATTTCAATTATTTTAACCTATATGTGCCGATCTCAACTCAAGATTTGTCAAGATATGAGACATCAGCCTAAATTGGTACTAGGGTATCTGGAGATTTAATCAACCAAATTAAAAAAGAGGGCAACTTTTGTATGCTATATAATAATATGTGATCATCAATTATATAGATTGTATAGATTGTTTTGACCTCTAGGTGTACTTAATTAAAGTTCGGGTTTACATAACTTTGCTTCTTTACTCTGCTGGTCTCTTTATAAAAGCATTGCTGAATTATATACAAAATATAGCCAGTACCATTGCTTTTGCTTCGCTTTATGAGAACAATAAGTAATCATCTGGTTTTATTTAGGCCTAATCTTTTTTGAAGAAAATATTATAAAATGTGAGTCACTAAGATGTCTAACTCATGCTTTTCTCTGTTTCCAACGTGAGATTTAATTTTAGTCACATGCAATTATATATGTAATATTTTAGATGGCATTACATACTCATTTCTGTCATTTTCTTAGGAAAATAAGACAGAAGGTACACCACTTACTTAGCTATGAGCCATACATACCACCCAAAACTCAATCAACATGGAAGTTGATGCTTTCAAGTTCACGCTATACCATTCATTCTCAGATTTAATCATTGTTGTTTTAGCAATGGACTAATTTAAAAATATGGTAGAAGCAAAAGTATGAATTCTTGTGCTCAATGAATCATCAACAACAAAACCAGGTGCTGACTCGATCCATTACTGATCAGATTTAACACAAAAAAAAAAAACAGAACTCTAAGAACTAACATCAAATCAAGCAGTTTCCAAAAGCAAGCAAATCATAGAATCATAGCAAGAAATCTATCGATAAAGCATAGAAAACTAAATCAAAACTCACCCCTCACTGGAATTATCAATTCACTTATCAGTCAAGTGTCTAACGGGTTAGTGTCTCACTCAAACCTTCACCGAATCAATACTATCATAGGTTTAATCATATTCTCACTCTCCACAGTTAAGTAACACGCACAGAAGATCAAGAGATCTTTATTTGGGATGTAATGGAGTCTGGCTAATGGGAAGATAGGAGTTGTAAGAACCCGCACCGTTAATTAAGGTATTTAATTAATTAATTATGCAAAAATAAGAAATGATTCCATAATTTATGAGGCTTAATAATCATAATAAGTGAATAAAAATGCTGAAAGTCACTTTTTGGAAGAAAAGTGCAGATACCGGTTCGGCTAGTCGGTATAACTGTGTACCGAAAAAGTATCCCAAAAAATTAATGTAAGTGCATGATAATTACTAGGATAATATGTAGGACTTGTAAAACAAGTTTCAAGTCCAAATAATGAGAACTGGTGCTAGAAACCGGTACTGACTTGGAAAAGCGCGTACCGGAAAGTTGCTCAGAAAATTATAAGAAAAATATGATAATTCTTAGAAAATTATGTAGTTTCAGAATCCTAAGTTTGGGATTAAAATGCTAAGCGTAGAAATTAAAGTTAATACTGTGTGTTTAAGTGTGTTTGGGCTATAAATACTCCCATTATGGGCACAAAACCCTAGACTCTTTCATTCCTGCATGAGTGAGCTGATCAGCTTGGGAGGGAGCATTGTTCCATTGCTTTCTTCTCTTGTTCTTGACCAAAACTCAACCTTGAACCCATTTTCTTGGTTGTTTCATCATCCTAAACACTTGGTGTGAGTGAGAGACATCATTGTGGGTGGGTGAGGGTGTTCTTCAGTGGTACTTCAGCTGCTGTTGGTGAGAGTTTTGGGGCTGACTTGGTTGGCTTGTTGGTGGAAGCTTGATTTGGGCATTTTGTTGCTTAAAGAAGCAACCTTTGGGTAGAAAGGTCAAGTCTTGGTGTAGCATTTTCGTACACCATATTACCAGTAGCTGTTGAAGCTGTTTTGGGAGCTTCTTGAGCAGTTGAACCTCTGTTTTGGCCTTTGGTATGTTGTACCAACCTTTAACTTGAGTGTTAAGGCTTAAAAATGGTAGCTTGATGCATGTTAAGGTTAAAAGATGATAACTTGTTGTTGGGTAATGTTGAACACGCCTAGAAATGCATGATTAGGTGTTTAAAATCGGAAAAAGGGAACCTTTAAGGGATATCTTCACGAAAATACAGAAACTGCATTCTGTCATGAAATATCCGGATATCTGCCCGTGGAATATCCAGATATGGGATATCCGGATATGATATCCGGATATGTGTATTCGGATATGGGGTTTTGGGATATCTGGATATTGGATATTCGGATATGGGATTCTGGATATCCGGATATTGCATATCCGGATATGTACAGTGAGATATCCGGATATTGCATATCCGGATATGGTCCCGAGGAGTATCCAGATATTCTGGGATTTCGCAGAACAGTAGCTGTGATGTGCATACAGTAGGCTATTGGGGGTTTGTAGACCCTAGATTGATGAAGTTGAACTTCTGTTTTTAATGGACTAAGCCAGAATCATGGGATTAAGGGCTTGTGGCTTTGTTAGAAGCTTTAAAACTTGAAAACGTAATGAAAAGTCGTTGTCTTTAATTTGTATGCATGTGGTACATGTTTATTGATTTATATTTGGTCCATATCAGATTGTGATCTGCTGTGATTGGACTTTGAGCTTGTGGCATTGGATAGCTAGCTTAGAGGTAAGCTTTCGTGTCCTCGGTTTAGCCATGTTGTGGTTCCACCATGTCCCATGGGGATATGGTATATGCATGCTGTGTTACATGCTTTTGATGTTTTGGAAATGCTGTTGAGCTATTGTATGTTAGTGCCTTGTTGATATGCATGGAGGTGTTCCACCTATACGGTAACACTACAAGAAAAGGTGCAATTTGCGACGGTCCAATTTCGATTTGGAGGCAGTTAAAACCGTCGCTAAAATACTAGTACGGCGGTTAACCAACCGTCGCCCAATCAATCGTCGGGAAGAAATCAACGACGGTCACTTTCAACCGCTGGAACAACCGTCGAGAATAATTCAACGACGGTTAGAACGGCGGTGTGGCCGCCACATAATGATCATCGAAATTACTATGTTTTACTTTTGGAGGCGGTTGTAAACCGCCTCTGTATAAGTAACGTGGTTTTGGAGTCGGTTTATAACCGCCTCTGTATTTCCTTTTGGAGGCGGTTCGTAACAGCCCCTAAATAAGTGATAAGGTATTTCGCGTCTGTTGGGAACCGCCTCTGACTTTTATTTGGAGGCGGTTTGTAACAGCCTCTAAATAATAATTTAAAAAATTTAAAATTTATTAAAAAATTTATAAAATAATTTTGTATGATTGATTGTATTCGATAATTTTAAAAAAAATTAATCAATTTTTTTGTTTCTTATATTTCTAAAATCCTATTTTTTTAAATTTAATAATAGTGATTTGTTATTATTTTATAAATTTATTCAAATATAGAATATTATTGCTATACATAATTTTTGAAATGTCGTCCAAATATAATTAAAATTATTAACAAAAAAGATCATTCATAAAAATGTTATTGAATAAAAATATATAAATTAAACCATTTATCATAATAGGATTAAAACATCAAACTTGATGTTTTGTACTATCATCTAAACAAAAAATATAAATTTCAAGAATATATATAAGGCGATAGCATACAACATTAGCACAAAGGATTTGGAATTCATAAAAAATGCTAGCAAAGCATCTTGTCATAAAATGAGTATACATCAACAAAATACTTGAATCAAGTATACGCTTTTTACTTAAAAAAAAAACAAAACAAAAAAAAAGCATAAACAAAAAGCATCACAAATGGCTCCTATATACAACGAAGCACATACAAGCATAAAATATAGCTTGCACCCTGTCGTATCTTGTGCATATTATTATTAGTTAATGAGATAGCTTGTAAAATAGAATAACAACTATAGCAAGAACAAGAGCTCCAATCACAGATGCAACGATCCATTTGTTTGTAGTTATTCTTCGTGACATGCTCGTTACAACCTTCTTACTCTTGTCGATAGCATCATCTACCCCATGAAGCTGCAAGTCATAGAAAAAATGACCATCAACCAACAATCACCACCGCTTCTACATCGCACTTGCAATCTTATTCTCCGAGGAAACGTATCATGATTGATTTTAATACTTTTCCTTAGAGAATAAAATCATCTCATGATTCTTTACTAGTAAATTAAAAGAGGACCAAAACTATCTAAAATTGACATAAAAAGAACACCATTGAAAAAAATAGCATTCACATATAAACATACCTTCTTATGGGAGTTCAGAAGAGTCTCACGCTGCTGGTGTAAATCTTGAAGTATTGAGACACCAATTTCTTCAGTTTCCAGCATTCACATATAAACAATAATAATCGCAACTCAGGCTGCACAACGGATGCAAAACACAAACATCTTACAATAAATACACCTGCAATAACATAGCCTCTATATGAACTGGTTGCAGTTGCTGATACCGAACCCACATTCAGTCACAAATATTTCTTGAATATTTAATGGTCTCTAGGAATTAGAACCATATATTCTACAACGGAATTCAGAATTTAAAAAGGCTAAAGATATCAACACTAAATACCCTAATATGATGTACAAAAAAGAGAGTAATAGAACTGTGAAAAAACAGTAAAAAATTAATGATGAATATTAGTGTGGTAACTAAAATAACATTCAGATTCAGTCAATTAAAAGATCATTTTCTGAAAAGCCTTAATGGTAGTTACTTGGTTAACAGTGATCCCAAAAAGGAGATACAGAAGTGAATAAATAGTATTTGATATTATCACTAGCAAACAAAAAGGAAAATAATACAACCAATAACAGAACTTCCAATTAATAACAGTGATCACAATTCCAAGTTTATTAATAACTGAATGATGCTTTTTTCCAATTCTTCTTGTTCGGAGCCATCCTTTTATAACTTTACCAACAACCTATATAATTAGACTCTGATCCTGCAAAATATTAATCAAACATCACTCAGAAATCCCATTTGAATCATGGCTATCTCTTTCACTTCCAACCTGCAATCAAATTACACCCTGAAAAAGAAACTATGACATAGTCCCCTGAAATCATAGAATGATTTTTGTATTCTTTTTTATGTGCCTTTCTTTTAATTAGAAAATATCAGACAATGGATAAGAGTATGTAGAATATACAAATAAAGCAGTTAAAATAATGCTGAAAAACAAGGTATATTATACATAATAATTCCAAAATAGCAATAATAGATAAACCAATTTACCTTGATGGCAAGAAGTCCTAGTGCGAGAGCGCTCCCTTTGCCGTAGATTTTGTTCCCTTAACAGTAATTGTAGCTGCTAGAGAAGTTACATTTTGTTTCTAATGTTCTAAGAGAAATAGAGCTGGCAGAAGCTAGAAATTCAGATCCAAAAATTTCCACGCAAAGCATGAGTGCCTCCACAAAATATGTAAAGCCAATAAAATTTATGATGTTACGAATACTATATAAATGGATGTGTTATACTTACAAAACTCAATAATACACCTAAGTTCCAAGCACATTAATTCATTCTTTCCAATCAAAGTTTTTAACACAGTTGCGTAACAAGACTTGAATTCGAGATTAAGATGAAACAACCTCTTACTAATGATTGGTTAGCGAACTCAAGATCACTAATTAAGTTTGAACAAACCCTTACTATCATTGATCAGTTACAAGTTTATCCATTCCAACTACTACTGTATGATACCTAGGGATCCGTTATAGTTATGGAGTTGAAACCTCTTCATGAAAGTCCATTTAATTAGTTGGTTGCGCTAGCAGGCTGTAAATATATGGAAAACAAATAGGCTAAAGAGTGAAGCACTTAATCTATTTGCAATTAAAAATGCAATCAGTAACAGTTGGTAGTAAAAGGGAAATTAAGATTGAGAACCATTATCGTTGAACTTAAAATTTATTAAATGAACAATTACTATATTTGGCGATATGCAGATAAGGAAATATTTCATAACCGGCAGATAGAATTATACTATACATGTCAGATGACTTTTACGAACAGTGATTCCTAACTACTGATTTATAAAAATTTGGGGCAACAATTAAAGTTATAGAATTGAAAACTCTTCATTGAAATCTCTGATAATGGTTGCACCTGACCATATTAATATTGCAAAATTTTAGAACCTGAACAGTGTAGTAGTTGATGAGTAAATGCATTTAGTTGATAAGGACATTGTTTTGGATAAGCTACACATGGTCCAATAACCTGAACCGGCTACTGAGGTCTAATATAGGGGTTGAACTTATGTACTCCTAAAGTGGAATAAATGCTCCTTACTGCCACAAATCTCCTCTCTTGTATATAGGCCTCATTCATAGTGAGACCCATAGAGGCGATGTGTTCTATGACAATTTTTACTAATAGTTATGAGTTTAACCTTACTATTTCTTACTGTCTAATGCATTTTATTATACCACACTATTGTCTCTGTTTAATTTTTTTTAACCTCTTCTTCAATCAAGTTTCTATAAGGATATTTCTCTCTTTGACTGCATAAGGAACCAAGTCAACAAAAGATACGAAGCGAGTGAAATAAGAAGAGAGACTTATTGTAAGATTGATAATAATAAAGGAAACTTTTATATTGCCTGACATAGACATTGAAATTAGTGGTTCAGTTTGAAAAAGCATTAAGTAACATTTACAACAAAGGGTTGTTCTCCAGATGTAAACATTGACATTATTTGTTAGGTTGATATGGGCTCTAAAGCTGGTCCACAATGATCATCATGCTCTTTCGGGGATTCTAACTAAATGGTCATTCTTCACTGCTTATTTGATTAAATTAAGTGATGTTGACACAAAAATCTACTAAACGGGTAGAATAGCCTAGCCATCCAACTTGCTAGCTATGATGCTAAAGGGGTAAAATAGTTGACAAATATATTTCTCTTGTTTTATTAGTAAAAAAATAATGTAAAAAAAATAATGTAAAAAAAATAATGTTAAAAAAAAAAATCTCCTTCATCTCTTGGTTGGACTAGACATGAAAAAGCAACCCAAGCTAACAGCCAAAAGATAAACCTTAATTTTCAAATGGAAAGGAAAGGGCCAAAGGGGTTCATTTATGATAGGGTAGATTGAGGACAACATGATGGACCCTTAGCAAATGAGGCTGTAGCAAATTAAGAATGGGTCTGTAGCAAATGAGGCTATTTTTATGATAGGGTCCATTTTTTTTTAGGTATTATCATTTTTTATTGAATTGAAGTTTGTTAACAAATATTTAATTAATCATTATTAGTATCTCAAAACGGAATATTTCTTTTAAAGTGAGCTTATTTGTAAACTGAATATCACATCTAGAAGCATAGAGAAATAGAGATACCCTTGTCACTGAACCGAGCCTACCAACATCGTACATAAAAGAACGGAGACTCTTTCAAATCCACATTATAATAATCCAAAAAAAAAGGTGACAGAAATGAAACGAAAATCACATGTGTAAGGATAAGGGTTTGAAAAGATACAACAACTATATTTTCGCACTATTTTTATTATATAAATGAAAAAGAAAGACACTAACAAATTCATCTCATCGAAAAACACAAAACGACCCATTGATGGTGAACCATAAACTCAATTGATACCGATTAAACTCCATAGCAACCAAAAACGCAAAGCATAGTTGTAACTGAACTTTAAAGATAAACAAAGTAAGGTCGAGAGAAAGGGAATATAAGACGTTACCGGAGATAGATGGGTTGCGACGCTGGTGAGGTTGAGACTGCAATTTGCACGAAGAACACACCGACGATCTGTGAGAGTGAGTAAAGAGAGAAAAACAATATAAAATCAGAAATAAAAGAAAAAAGAAAAAACATGCACAAATTTTAGGGTTTAGAGAATGAGAATGGCGAATGGAAACCAAAGAGAAGAGAACGAAAATGAAAATGGAGAATGGTAACTGAACCTGCCGATGGAGAAACACAAATTTTGGTGAAAAGGTTTTTGGCCAGAGTAATTTTGGTGAAAGGTAACTGAAAGGGCTTTATGGAGCGGGTAAAGTGAAAAGGAGGGAGCGGGGAAAGTGAAAAGGAGGGAGTGGGGAGAGTGAAACTAGTATTTTAGTAAAAAAAAATTATGTTAATATTTAAATAAAATATGTATAATTGAGTGAATGAAAGGTTTATAATTCAAGGGCTCAGATAAAATAATTATAATATGGCCATATAATTGCCGTGTTGATCGATGTAATGCGTACCGGTCTCCTTTAACACTTGAGTATAATTATGAAGTCTCTCGACATGAATTAATTTCATGTAGGCTTCCATGCCAGACAAATATAGAACCAAATGAGTCTTTTTACTTCATGGTCAGCCGAAAACAGTGCACATAATTATTTAATTTTGGTTTAATTAATTTTAAGATATATCTTTAAATATTTAATATACATGGATGGTAGCAGGTGGATATTATGGAACTCCAATAAAAAATGGATAAATATGTGGCCATGAGTTTCAATCCTTACAAAAAAAAATTCATTTAATAATTTTATTTTTATAATAAATCAGTTTTCATGTTAAACTTTATTTCTACACCATTGTTTTAAGGGAAAATTTTATTTTTACCCCTTATGGTTTCATGGCATATCATTTAAGCCCCTGTTGTTTTAAACTTATCATTCGTATCTATTGTGATTAAATAAGTCTATCATTTAACTCTATGTGATCTAAAATTTTCATTCACACCTATTGTGGTTACAATTACAATATATCAATTAGACCTCTAATAGTCTTATAAATATAAAAATCTTTATTTATTTGTAATTTTTTTAATATAATTATCATATAATCCACTAAAATTTTAATAAAATAAAATATGAAAAGATTAAATTACAAAATATTTTATTATTTATTTTGATATTATTTTAGAAATCAAGAAACAATTTTTTTGTTTATCTATAAAATATATTTAAAATTAAAAACATTAAATTATATATTATAAATATGATTTTTATTCAATTATTATAATACATATTTTAAAAATATTATATAAACTATTATGAATATGTATCAAGATGAATAATACTATTATTTAAAGTATGAATTGCGAAAGTTATAAAGGCAAAATTTTAACTTTAAATTATTTTAAATTCAGATAAATTAAAGAGTATTAGCTAGATAAATTATTTATTTTATTTTTAGTTTTTATTATATTATAACGATATCATATAAAAAATTGATTTAAATTTATTTTTATGATAAACATATAAGACCACAGGATTCACATGCCTGTCATAACTTACAATAAATTTTTTAAAAAGTTACTTATTTTTATCGTGAATCAAAAGTGATAAATTTAAATAAATGAATTTTCTATGTATATAAATACACACATGGATTTAAATCATACATTTTTATAACCACCATGGGTATACGTGATACTTTGAAACAATAAAGGGGTTAAATGATATATTTCAATTCGTAATCACAATGTATCTAAATGATATATTTCCTATCATTTTATTTTTATCCGGTTTCGGGGTCGGCGCCCCCACACCCTCGTAGGGGTGGCTACCCCGGACCCCGCCTGCTCATTAAAAAGCAAGACTCGTGTTGGCTTTCTTTGTGCCCTACCAAAAAAAATCATTGTCTGATTATATATGAAGTATGAGCCAGAAACAACATACACACCCATATTGCACCCACGAGTACACACACTCACCCACAGACACACGCACCCAAACGCGAATGCGCGTACACCCACTAACACCCACATGCATGCGCGCACACCCACCTATACACACACAAGCGCACGTGCACACCCACACTTACAACACAATTGTATTAATGAACATTATTTTGGAGTATGATTGCATAAGTCATGGATGCATAATTATTGTGTCGATTTGAATTGGATCGGTTTTCATCAACCCATCCGAAAATCGATCCAATCCAATTATAATTTGCGATTTTTTGATTTTTGATTTATTCGATTATTGATTTTTCGGTTCGGTCACCGCGATTGGAATCGGTTGATGAACATCCCTAATTAGCATGTCTTGTACAAATGCAATGACATGAACAAACTCTTAAAATTGATATCCATGATTAATACTTACTACTCCTTATATTATATATATCATTGACATTCTACATTTTGCTCGGGCCAATTAAGTTTTCATCATTCTAAATTGCCCCGACCATATATTAATTAGGGCAATTACTATAGAAATTATACAACCAATATTTAATTTCAATGCTTTATGTCCAAATTATAGCAAGGAGATTTTGGAGGGGGGACATACTCAACAAAATTAGGGTTCGGTGTTTCTCATATTGTAACAGATAAAATTATCTCATACCCATATAAAAGTATATGGGGCTGATCATGTGAAAAGAAAAAATAAAATGAAAAGATGGGCCCAACACAGTTTTATATGTGTACAGGAGATAAATTCAACATGAGAGACATTAAAGCCACAAAATTATGGTTGAACCAATATTATGAAGACTGCCTAGACCCATCATTAACTCAGTTGAAAAGGTTGATTTAAATTTATAAAAAAGTATGTAATAAATATATTAATAAATTATTAATATTATAATAAATTCAATGGCATAGTGGTTGTTGTCATTGAATTCCTCCAATGTATACTATGTTCGAATCTTTCTAAGTGCCGTTGTTCATAAAAAACATCCACCATCATTGGAATTTATATTTTGCGACGGTTAGTAAACGCATTTACTTTGTCATTCTGAGTCGGTTTATAACCGTCGTCATTCTGCGTCGGCTTATAACCGTCGTTGAATAGTGATATTCTGCGTCATTTTGTAACCGCCTCTGAAATCAGCGTTTTCATTCTGAGTCGGTTATAACCGTCGTTATTCTGAGTCGGTTACAACCGTCGTTGAATAGTGATATTCTGCGTCATTTTGTAACCGCCTCTGAAATCAGTCGTGGAATTGCGATATTCAATTACGGTTCATTAGGACGTCGTAGTAACCGTCGTTGTTATGTATTCAACGACGGTTGGACCCTGACCGACGCCGATTATCTGTCGCAAAACACACATTTTCTTGTAGTGTAAGCTTGAGTATGTAGAACATACAAGAGGGTGAGGCTGTAGGTGAGGTGCAAGCGGTGTTCCTTGTACTACATGTAGGGAATAGACATATTCCTACATTTCTCTGGCCAGTAGATAGTGATTACACACATGCCATAGATATCTGTTGCACTACATAGTTTTGAAACTGATAATGATATATATGCTTTTTGAACTTATATTGCACATGTAAGTGAGCTTGGGGTGGAAGATCCTTGAGGACCCCTTGTCTTACTGAGATTTCTAGTTTAGAGATCTCACCCCACGTTTGGGGAATGCTTATTTCAGGGTCAGGTAATGTTGAGACCTCAGGCGGCAGGAGGCCGGAGCTGAGTTAGATTGCTGTTATATTGTGCTGCCTTGATTGGATGCTGGATTTACATGCTGCTTATGCTTATAGCTGCAGTTTATGTTTATGGAGTTTTATGTTGAGACTTGTTGTTTACTATGTTTATTTGGTGAGCGTGGGGATTGTCCATGACACATAGTATTTTTATGTCTTGGTTATGTCTTGAGTCTTTTGGAGTTGTATTAATGTACCAGGATATTGTCCGGATTACTTGATGTAATGCTGTGATTTAGATACACACTTTATCTATATTTTGAGGTATTTCAGTAGATGTCTTATTGCAATTTACATACAAGCGATATTTTATGAAATTGATTAAGTAATCAAGTTGGTAATTGATAATGACGTCATAATTGAAAAGAAAAAGAATATTCCGTATTTTTAATTAAGCACCGCTTAATACGATGTAATGTTAATATTCCGGGTATACACTGGGTGTTACAGGAGTAATGTAGTTAAAGAATTGAGAAACAGAAAAATCATGGTATAAGCATAAACACATTCTTCAGCATACAGTTCCCTTTATACTTTCTTCCTCCTTTTTCATTTTTAGAATTTTTATGATTTATTTTTTTGCAATTTCTTTTTCAACCCCAAAACTTTTCTTTTTTATTTTACTTTTCTATTTTTTTATATTACACACATTTTTTTCAATACTTTTATTTGTACAAAATTTAAGGAGGCAACATAAATAAATAAATATATATATATATATATGTCTGTGTGTGTGTGTATGGGTTTGTCGGATGAACAATGACTACATATAAGGATTGGTGCAGTTACACTAAGTACTACGGATCGTACATAATGTATTTCCTCTATCTTCATAAATTTAACTATGTACTACGAGTAGTACATGATTTTTTTCTCTCTTCAGAAATATTATAACTATGTACTCGAGAAAATATCATATACTACCCGTAGTATGTAGTTAAATTTCTGAAGATAGAGAAAATATATTATGTACTACCTATAGTACATAGTGTAACTGCATCAATCCTTAGGTGCAGTCAGATTACGAATCATTTTGCCTATATATATATATATATTCACCATCTTCCACCTTTATCCTTTTTCGCACCTTTTGACCATTTTCATCCCCAGACAACATAAGTTAGAGTACTCATGCTCACACCTTACCATGATCTATAATCCAATCCTAATACATATGGAGATGTGTATATAGTGGCTAATCAAGACAATAGGTTATTAAAAAATAAATAGGTCTAAGCTCAAAGGGCTAAACAAATGATATCATAATGGGTGGCTATTTGGCCAAGTGGCTAAAAGCAAGTTGTAGAGTGTTTTCAGCAGTGAAGTGCACACCAAAAGAAAAAAATTCTATTTACCCCCAAAATCTCATGGCTATGGGTGGATGATTCAACTAACTATATTCTACCCAATCACTCAAAATTGTAATCCTAATATTCCTGCTAACTCTTAGACTTACTTATACAGTGCTCATTTAATCAAAAATCAAAACTAGTATGTTAGTCATCACAATAAGGATCAAAATGACTAACTAATTCTCTTACCAACTCTTTCATTTTTGCATAATTCCATCATAAAAAAAAATCAAATCATCCAAGGAGAAAGAAGAATGCAAAGAAATGTCGACAAAAACTTCCTTGTAGAAACTTTGTATTGAGCGCTTTACA